ATAAAATATTTACATAAGTAGGCTTACACCAATACATAAAACATGACAGTACTTCTAAAATAAAATATTTACATAAGTAGGCTTACACCAATACATAAAACATGACAGTACTTCTAAAATAAAATATAAAACAGACATTAAAGTAGAGTAAGTAAATGCAAGGTGCTTGTAACGCAGAAACTATTGGGGCTCTACAAAGGCTAACAACAAATAGGTCATTATCTACCTATGAGATTAGGCTGAACGTTATAAATTACATTTACAATTAATCAACTCCTCTGACTCCAGGGTACCGTCCTTTTTCGGAGAGAAGTCGGAATAATGTAGTAAACGTTTTATCTTTTTACTGCAAAATCAATTTTGAGACAAAATAACATAAAACGCTCATTACTAAATATGAAAAAGTTTCACCTGTAAAATGTGATTCCCTGTTCTTGCCCAACTCGTTGTGCCTAAAATCCCGTCACATTCTCAATTTTTAAACTTGACATCACGCTTTCTCAATTAAGTCTAACCGGGTCTGCCCAAGGAAGCTTGACCGCACCAATATGAAGAAAGATATCAATGGTTAGCTCATGGTTACTCAGTAAGTTGGGAATAAATAGAGTCGCTGATAAATACTAGGTGTTTTAAGTTATTGTTTTTAAGGGTTTTTATATATGAATGTAGAAAATATGGGTAATTCCTTGGTATAAACGTCCAACATTAATTGTCTTTACTAGTCAACCACTACAGAACAGAAGAACATAACTTAACCACATATTTTTATAGGCTATGAAATTTACAAACATAATTTAGGTTTAAATATTTCAAAAAAGTTTTAACACCATTCAATGTTTAAATTTTAAATCTAAGCACAAAACACGATAGTGGCTACACATGCTACACAATACGAGATCTGGCTCCTTAGCTCTATAAAGCCGTTTTCTCGGCGGTTTTCACGAGTTATATCGATAGAACTGGCCGAGGAAAGCTCAACAAGGCTTACTTGCCGCTGTAAGGTGGCTAAGTGCAGTACCTGCCCGAATATTGAGTACTCGTTTGTTTGTTGAATTTAAGCACAAAGCTACACAATGGGCTATCTGTGCTCTGCCCACCACGGGTATCGAAACCCGGTTTCTAGCGTTGTAAGTACGCAGACATACCGCTGTGCCACTGGGGGGCAACATGAGTACTTCTACTACTTTGTGCAAAAACACAGTTCGTCTGCATCTTCGTAAGATGTGTTCTTTTGGCAGTAAATTGCGTATTTTTTTTAGATTAACATATTGAGTCCTTTTGATTCTAACTCGAATATCTGAAACCGTTACACTCCTCAATAGCCCATCCAATCCCCTGAATTTGGTCTCACTGACTTGCAGACTGAGTGTTAAATATAGTTTAAATGAAAATATTCAGCATTCATCACTTAATGATTTTGAATTTGATACAAAATGATAACAACTTCTCTGTGCTATTAAAAACTGCTGCCAAGTAGCATAAAGGTGGTCACAAACATTTCACACTTTCTGTTGGCAAATAACATAGCAACAAATGAGGAATTAATATAAAATCACAAAAAAATTACAATAACTCATACATTCCACAATGAATTATTTTAACTGAATGATCGCATAGAAGTTATTTTCTTCAGCCTGTGGGGTAACAATTTTCAACTATAATAACTAAAACTTATGATCGAGTTATTATATAAAATGATACAATACTTTTTTTTAGAATTCACCGAAAAATACAAAAAAAAAATCTGGAACATATATTTCTGATAACTTTCTATGGAAAACTCTGAAATCAAAACATCTGCTTGCTTTAAAGAAAAGCCACATTGGACTCTCTGCTGTGTCCGCCGCGGGGAATCGAATCATGGTATTCAGTGTTATAAGTCCTTATATTTACCGCTGTGCCACAGGAGAATATGTCATAATATGAAAGAAATTTAAGTTTGTTTGTAATTAAGCACAAAGCTACACAATGGGCTATCTGTGCTCTGCCCACCACGGGTATCGAAACCCGGATTCTAGGGTTGTAAGTCCACAGACATACCGCTGTGCCACTGGGGGGCATAAAAGAAATATACTAAACATTGTTGTGTAATAGTAGTGACTTCATATTCATGTATCAAAAATAAATGTTATTATATTCATTATTTATAGATTTAAATGCTGAAATAAGAAGATAAAAGTTTTTATAAT